GCCCTCCATTAGGACAAGCCTTTCTTAAACACAATATTTGGTCTACTATGTGGATCAAATATAGCATACCTATTAATAGCATATTTATACTTGTACTAAAGCCTAAAAAATTATATAATAATTGCAACTAATTACTATATCTCTATTGTAAAGCTTTGCACTATTGTTAAAGACTTGTTTCTAGCATTTGACTCAACTTGGATATCTTCTAAACGGGGGTACTAGCCTCTTTTTCATATTGTAGCACCATATTGATAAACAAAACAAATATGTAGTTGCATTTTACTGAGTTTATCTGAATTAGACAGGTGTAAATAATGCCAATCTTTTGGAGGAGGTAAGCTAAAATGCCCACTTTTTTTAAAAATTTTTGGTAAGGTTAGCAAATATAAAAAGAAGGAAAAACCATACTTGGATATATAAAGAAGAGTATGTTTCTTTTTTACTAAAATTAATAGTTTTACCAAAAATCTATACAGTACTAAGTTTTTTTGGTAAGTGATAAGCTCTGAGCTTGTTGGCAAATAGTATATAAAAACTACTTCTAAATAACAAGTGCTATAAGCTAAACAGTAAGTAATAAACTCTGAAACTATTAGTAGGTATCATATGAGAACTATCTCTAAATAACAGCTGCTACTTTAGAGTTCTGTTTCCCACATCTTATATTAGAAATCTTGCAGTTTTTGCACTAGAGTACTATATTTTTTTCTAATAAAAAGTTTTTTAGAAAATGTAGTCCAAGTAATTATTGTAGCAGATTAAAATGAAATTAGATTAAAATGAAATTTTTCTATTTTTTTAGGAAAATTTAAAATTTTTTGGGAACATTTTTTAGGGTTAGGGTTAGTGTTAGAGTTAGGGTTTAGAGTAAGTTTTATTAATAAAAGAGTATAAGTGGGTTTTATAAGCTTTAAAGATAAGCAAGAAAGGTCTCCAGTTTTATTTTAATCCGATTTCATTATGATCTGCCACAATTATTGAAAAGAGTGATGTTTAATTTCACAAATTTTAATAGTACTATTATAATCTATACCAAGCTAATAAAAAAATTATATATTAAAGACAACTCTGTATATCTTAATTATAAAGCTAAGCCTTATTATATAACTATTTTTTTTGGCCTAATGACCAACTTCAAAAATTTTTAACCAGTACCTCAAACTAGACTCAGTCTAAAAAAGTAGTACTATATCTATTTAGATCAAATATATGATTATTAACTACTATGTTGTCCAAATTTAAAAAGAGTAAACATTGCTAATCTTTTAATAAAAATAAGCTATTTTGTATATTTTTTCAAAAATTTTGTTACTAAAAGAAGTAGGTAGTAATATAGTAGAAATGCTTTGTATTGTTATATTAGTGGTTATTAGTATCTTTTAAATTTTTATTAAGTAGCTCTGTGTAACTTCTAATTGTAGTACAAATCTGATTCCACTAATGGAATCCTTGATATTAATTTCCTTAGCATAGTTTTACCATTTGTCAATCGGGTTAATAGTTAATGAGTTATTAAGATTTAAAGATATATAACTATAAAAGATGACGAATAATAATCTGTCACTCCTGTGATGCAGAACCCGTTGGTACAGACTATACATGCCATAGAAATTGGTTTCAGTATAATTTCTATCTAAATTTTGGCATGTGGTAATGCCTAAATCTAAAATTTATGCCGCAACTTATGGTTAGCACCTAAAGTCAAAATTAATATTATAAGTGCCGAAAGTAATAAAGTATAATTGATAGTGCCAAAAGTAATAAAGCATAATTAATATATTATTGATTGATGTAGTGATATTAAGTGATGCAATAAAAATAAACAAAGTATATTTTATTTAAATAATAAAATAATTTAATTTATAAATTTTTATTATCTTTCTTCATTTTATTGCCACTTTGTAAATTATGTTATTTAAAAATATAGTTGGACAACTACCAAAAGAGGTGTGGAAATATATCCAAAAAGGAAAGCTCAAAGATCATAGATATTATAGTGCAAAATGTATATGTGGTAAATCTTGAATATGCGGAATACTGAAAGATTTGAAAGATCATTTAGCTACTGAATGTATAGCAGCTAGTAGCAATATTAAGCAAAAATTTCTTAGAATTATATTTGCAAGAAATCATCCAAGAGAAAATGATACTGAACTAGATTTTCCAGTCTTTAAAAAGGTTCGCACTAATGAACCTCAAGAATTATATAATTAGCCTGAAATTCTTTCATCTGAGATGAAAAAAGAATATGACAGAGCACTTTTAAAATTTTTTATTTGCTATAGAATATCCTTTTCAGTTATTAAGCATCCTTTCTTTTTAAAATTTATAAAATATTTAAATAAAATTTATGAGCCACCAAAGTGTATCTATTTATCAACAACTTTATTGAAAAGCAAAATTGCAAACATTACTGTAAAAATTGAAAATGAGATAAAAAATGAAAAAAATTTGACACTTGGTAAATATATATATTTTTTTTTTAGTTTTAAGGTGAGGCTTTGCTCATATCTTTATTAGATAATTTATATAAGTAATTACATAGAGACTATATAAAGACTTAATTTGTATACGAACA